AACCTAATAAGAAGAGAAAACATGAAGCATAAAAAAAAATAATGAGTTGTAAATAACTTCAACATTCAGCTCAGTGGTCTTTTCTCAGAAGCCTACGTGGTCCACCCACTCCCAGCTCTGTGTATGTGTGTGTTGCTATGTAAATGTTGGCTATATAGTAACTCATTTAATCTTCATAAAAACTCTGAGATAGACAGTATCATTATGCCCATTTTAGAAGTGAGGGAACTAAAGCATAAAGAGAGTAAGTAACTTGCCCAACATGACCCATTTAGAAATATCAGATTCAACCTGTATGCTGTGCAGAAAATAAAGTTATTGTTATCCAAATGTTATAAATGAAGAAACAAAGCACAAAGAGGTTAAGTACATTACTGAGGCTTCCAGGGCTGGATTTAAATCTAGGTTTGGTTCAAAAATAGTGTTCCTTTCCCATAGGATGGTGCCTCCCAGGACGAGAATAGATTAAGTAGAAAGATAATGAATTTGGCTTAGGATATTTTGAGTTTTAAAAATCTGTACAATTACAGTATCCTGCCTTTCTAGAATAGTATCAATAGAGGTGGTAGAGGTCTTCAGACAAGTAAATCCTGAACACATTTAACTTGGAAATATAATCTGGAATTCTCTCCTCAAATCTAGAATTTCATCCCAACTCTAGAATTTAATTCCATGTCACTAAGGTTTGCAATGTGAAGGCCCCAAATCACTTCTTTGGAGCTTTTCTTCACTCTCCATTCCTGAAGGACTTAACACCCACAGACTTTAACTAGGGATCAGCAATCCCAACAGGGAAAGAGTGCTCCATCCCTTCCTTCGTTGTCTTGCCTTGTATCTAGTGTTTTCTCTGAGAAAATACACAGTTCTCTTTCAACTTCGAATCTCAGTGTGAGTCTGATTACTTTAGCCATTGGTCTATTTTTGGAGCAATAAATTCCCAGCATTAAAAAGTATAAACTAAGGGGGGAAAAAAACAATTTGAGGTGAATAATTTTGTCTTCCATTCTGCTCTTGACCAGCTGTCTCCCACTACGCACAGGAAAAGAAGACATAAATGTGCAGCATGTGGAGTATAGGGAAGAGACAATTTCGTGAGAGTGAGGGTTTTTTGAGACATCAGATGACATTTCCAAGGATAGTCATAGAGTCTCCTTCCCTGGATAGCATTAACTAGGGCATTCTAAGATATTCTCCTTTGTCTGGGATTGAGTATTCACTGATTTGAACAGCCGCAGGGGTGTCAGATGGCCTGAGATTTGAAAAGCCCATCAATTTGGACATTACTAGTTTGTGATAATTGGACAGTGGTAGAATGAAGCTGCTCGATGTTATCAACACAGTAAAGTGTTTTTTTAAATTAAGAGTATATATGATTGTGGGAAAATGCTCAAATTATCTAGCAGAACTGTTTTCACATATCTTATAAAAATACAATTGCCAGCAATTATGCTCCTAGGTATTTACCCAACTGATTTGAAAACATGTCCACAGAAAAACCTGCACACAAATCCTTACAGCAACTTTACTCACAACCGTTAAAAACTGGAAGAAACCAAAATGTCCTTTAATAGGTGAAAGTAGAAACAAACAGTAGTACATCCATACATTAGAATACTATTTAGGGATAAAAGAGACAGGAATGAGATATCAAGCTCCACAAAAGCATGGATGGATTTTTAAGTGCATACTGCTAAGTGAAAGAAAGCAGTCTGAAAATGCTACATACTGTATGGTTCCATTTCTATGACATTCTGAATTTGGGGGTTTTTTGTTTGTTTTTTTTTGGGGGGTGGGGGGCTGCTGGCCAGTACAGGGATCCAAACCCATGAACTTGGTTTTATAAGGATGTGCTCTAACCAAGCGAGCTAACCAGACAGCCCTCCTTTCTATGACATTCTAGAAAAGTCAAAACTATAGCAATGGTAAACAGATCAGTGGTTGTTAGGGATCTGAGGAGGTGAGAGGGTTTGATAGATGAAGCAAGGGGAAATTTCTATAGAGCTGTAAAACTATTCTATATGATACTGTAATGGTGGATACATGACACCATGAATGCATTTGTCAAAACTTATAGAACTTCATGGCACAGAAAGAACTTTAATGGATGAATATTAAAAAAAAATATGTATATCTTTTATAAAGATATATATATATATATCTTTTATAAAGATATATATATATATATCTTTGGGGCTTAAAGAATCCCAGGATGAANTATATCTTTTATAAAGATATATATATATATATCTTTGGGGCTTAAAGAATCCCAGGATGAAATGCAGACTATGGAAAAAGACTCTAACTGTACTATAAATGTATAAAACGACCTCACTGAAGGCAGGGGAGATTGGTGACCCAGGTAACTTTGGAAATGAATGGAGTCTACAAGACTAAAGGCAAAAGAATATACATAAGCATTGTACTCTGTTTGGTAAATGTTTCCCACGGGCATACCTAATAACAATTCTGAAACTACTGTACACACACACTGATTACGAGTTAACAGTTCTACACATGTAAACTGGAATTGAACAATTAAGTAAATGGATGGCAGATGGTAGGGACAAAGTTCCTCACAGTGGAGTGGAAGGTTACAGACAAGGAAGGAGAGAAGGCTAGAATGATCCATGTGGTGCTGGATAAAGCTGGCGGCATCAGCATGAACTCTTGTTCAGCTGACATAGATACAGATGAACACATATATATTTATAGATATGTCTATTTACTCAGGTTAGTATACATACATATATTTCCTTGCTCTGTTAGCTGAGATAGCCTAGAAGCAACAACACTCCAAATGTCCAAATCTTGATTTCTAATATCATTTTCCATTAAAGGACCCATGGCTCCTTCGGGAAGTGGCTGGTTCTAGAACCAGCGCAGGGAATATACAACATGTATCTGGAGCATCTTACAGTGCCAGAAATTAAAGAAATGCTCAAAGAAAAAAGAAAAACAAAAAAATAATGAGGGTCTGTCAAAGAGACACAGGTGCCAACAAAAAGAAATCCCAATGGCAAAGCTGGAACAATTTGAACAAAAAATAACGTAGTACTAGATTATAACCTAAATGTAAAATAAATATCCATGAGTTCATATTGATATAAAATGATTAAACACATAAATAAATGGGGAACAGACAAATCTCCCATGCAGAAGAATTCCAAATAATTA